GGACAACTTCTGCGACCTCTCTGAGCTTAGGGAGTGCAGCATCGAATGGGAAAGATGGGGGGGCTGGGCGAGGAACATAACCAGGAGATCCCAGTGGAGTTGATCTTGCTGGGTCGCTGTATTACTCCCTGAAGTGTTCATCCAGCTCCGATTTTGTGACCCCCAGCTTCCCGCTTCTCTTGTCCTCTAGAAGCTGTCTTGCGTGCTTGAAGGGGTTTTTGAAGAAATTGCTCCTCTCCTTTTCCTTCCGCCTCCTGCGTTTGCGGATGCGCTCTGCCCTCCGCAGGGTGGCACGGTTCTTCTTCACCTCCTCCCACAGCGGTTTCAGGCCCTCCTTCTCCTCTTCGTCTGCTTTCCTCCACTGCTTACGGAGCTGACGCCACCTCTTCACCAACTGCTCAATCTCCCTCTCCCTTCTTCCCTTCTGCCTTGGCCCAACGTTCTGTCTTACAGCCATTACTCCAAACCTGCCTTTACACTCCTCGTAGAGGAAGTCTCCAAAGCAGTTTAGCTTGGTCTCTATTTGGCCACGTAGCGAGTGCTCTAAGATGCTGGGTATGGTTCTTAAAAGTGCTTTGTATGTGGGTGATAGGTATCTGAGTCCACCTCCTCTGTTGAGTGATGGTTTTTCCAGGTTGACAAAAATGGCTTCTTTTACCCCTCTCTCAAACCATCTGTCTACCCTGGCCAAAAAACATCACTCAACAGAGGAGGTGGGCTTAGACCCAACCTATCACCCATAGTTGAACCTATCAGTTGTTCGTAAGTGACTCAGTTTTTGAATTTTAGGTGGTTGATGAGGTTTGTCATGTTGTTGAATGCTGTAGACACCAGTGACCTTGTGGTATTTTTTTAGTGACTTATCAAAACACCACAGGAATACACACTCAAGTTTTTTTAAAACACAGAAGCAAGGACGTGAAAATCATTCAGGATGCAGTGCAATATAAGAAAATGATTAGTGTCCATTTGTGATTGTTTGGAGTCAAAATTAAAAAATTTGGTCGCACACCTCTGAAATTTTGTAACAATGTGCGGTGAAATGAGTAAAGTTGATTTCTTACCAGACCCATGGGCTCTTCTTACATCCACTATGCTGAGTCATCCATGAAGAATGGCTTTGGACTGAAGTATCTGCACAGATTTTTCAACATCCCCTTCCTGCAGTTGCAGGTTTGTTTTCGTTTTTCACTCGTGTCATCCACAAGTGGTATATTATGTTTTTAAGTGGGCCAATTAAAAACTGTAGCTTAGTAAAAATTCTGTGACTCGGACTTAGATGTTGAGTGGTGTTGAATTCAATGAATAGAATAAAATAAAAAAAATGAAATAAAACTTCAGTTGTGTATGTATTTCATGGTAATATTGATGATTTTTGCGTGTGCCTGCAGAGAGAGACACTGCTAAGGCAGCTGGAGACCAACCAGCTCGACATAGATGCCACCCTGGAGGAGCTATGTGTCCAGCAGGAGACCGAGGATCAGAACTATGATATGTAATGTATTTTGCCAAACCTATTCCTAGAATGACTTATTTTTAATCTACCTTTTACTAGTACTTGTCTGCTAAGTTCCTCTGTATGAAACTCATTCTTTTTATCACAGTTATTTTTTGCCCTCTAGGATTTTTAGTCTTCCTATTCAGCCTCCCCTTAAAATGTTTGTCCACTTTGTGGCCTGTACAAAAGTACTGCCTGAATTTTCTAACATTGATCTCAGTTGGTTAGATTCACCTGGACCTTTGTCACTAGCTGTGATGAACAGCTAGTTTTCATGGCTACAACTGTGTGTTTTTCTTTTCATATATAACAGTGATTATCCATGTTTAGCATCACAAGCTGGTGATAGATTTAATGAACAATTTATTTAAATGTGGAATTGTATATGTGGACTAGGAATCTATAACTTAAGCCTTGAACTGGAATGTAGTTAATGTCAATACATAAACTAGCCCTCATTTACTTTGTACAGTTTTCTGGAGAACTTGGAGTCTCGCAGTAAGACTGGTCCAGCCAATGGCTCCTCCTCGGGTTCTCAGTCACCCATTGTACCTCCCAGTGGAGCCTCCACAGGCAGCTCCAGCCCAAGCACTCCTCAGTCACCGGTCTCCTCACAGATGCTCCTGCAGTCACCATCTGCTTCTGCCTCCTCACCTCCACCTCCTACAGCAACAGCAGCCACAAGTGGTGCAGCTTCACCCACAGTTGAGTTAAAGCTGTCTGCTCAGTCTCCAGAACACCAGCAGTCCTTATCAGCTCCTCAGAAACGTGGCTTCATGTCCCGCTGGTTTGGTTCTTTTCCTACTCCTGAAGCTTCTGCTTTTGCAGCTGGTAATTTGCTGTATCATGCTGCTACAAAGTTAAATTAAAAATAATTTAATTTGGTTTATCCTTAAACATCTTAACACACACATATATTTTGTTGTTTTCTTCTCAGAGGACATCCCTGCTGCTGCTGCTGCTGCTGCTGCTCCAGTGTGCCCTGCTAAAGTCCAGAGTGTTGATGATTTTGTCCCAGATGAAAGACTGTACAAGGGTTTCCTGGAGGACAGCCTGCCCTCAAAGGCCAAGGTTTCTCAGCCAGCTCCACCTGTGGACAGTGACAGGTAATATGTTAATACTCAGAGAAAAACCAAAGACTCCCTGCTCATTTAATTTAATTTATTATATCCATAACCATCATCATTGATTAGTGAACCCTCCATGTGTTCATGAACCTAAAAATGTTCCTTTGTGTCTTCTCTGTTCCAGTGACGGTGAAGAGCGAGGAAACCCCATGGTTTCTCATTTTCAGGATGAACTGGATCCTTATGACACCAAGCCCAGCCTTCCTTCATCGACGCTGCCACTCACTAAAGACGTCACTCTGACTAGTGATGAAGAGGAAGAGAAGCAACCTGTACCACACACTGTCACACTGCACCAGGACCTGGATAGTGAACCTGAAAACCTGAAAACGTGAGTTTTTCTGAACTCTGTTGCAGCTGAAAATGTGGTGCATTTTTCATCAGCTTGGAATGATTTTTTATCTGTCTTTACGTTGCAATCTCAGGGTTGGTTTTTTTTTTTGCTTGATTTGTTTATGCAATTCCTATGAAAGCACAGTCAAACAGCTCAGAATCAGCAGGATAACTTTAGCCGCAACATGACATAAAGGAAATTCAAATAAATGTTATAAACTTTCAACATTTTCCTGGAGAACCTGGAATTTGCATGATGACCAGTCCAGCCAACAGCTCCCCCTCAGGTTCTCAGCCCCCCATGGTTCCTTCTAGTGAGGTCTGTAAGGCCAGCAAATAGCTTAAAAATAACCAAACGATGTATAAAAAATAAAGCAATAATAATGGTTAGCCTAGAAATTAATATAATCTAGTATAGAAAAAGTTAAAAGTAATAATGAAAATGTGATAAAAAAAATGTCCACAGATCATATCAGCTTAATGTTAATAAAAAATCTACTACATCCTAATAGAAAATAATAATGAATGTGAATACATATAATAATAAACAGGATTGTTAATTCAATGTGATACAAAGCTATTTCCTCCTTTTTTTCAGTCCTGTGATTCAGGTCACCAAACCAAAGGCAGTATCTAAAGCTTCAGATAATAATGGTCAGACTGCAGCTCCAATCTCCTTCACATTAGTTCCTGCTGCTGAGCAGCAGAACCAACACCAAGGCAAGAAAAGGGGAAACTTACCAAGACTTGAAGACTCTGACACTGACCCTGACCCTGAGACTCCAGTCGCTCAGCAGATGCTCTCCTTCGTCATGGACGACCCTGACTTCAAGACAGGGGCATCGGACACACCAAAAATAACAAAGGTGAAGAACAGGATTAGTGCTTGTACTGCTGAGTCCAGGATCTCTATATATATTATTTAAACAATACGAAAACGATCTGTCTTGAAAAAATCATTTATTAATGTTTTTTTGTGTGCTGTTAATTCATCATCATTCTTTTTCACAGGATATCTTTCCTGTTAGAGACAATCTTCTGTCGGATCTTTCTGGCGATGACATGAAATTACTCAAAGTACCAGAACCTCTGAAAACCAGTGCAATCTCCTTCAAACAAAAGAACGCCAGTGACCTGTTTGGTCTGGGAATCCAGGAGAAGGTTCCAGCTGCAAATGAGAGTAGTGAAGAGCAAGAAGGCAAGACATTTACCTTTTTAAATAGAAATATTATTGTTACAGTATACAATATTATTGTATTTTCCTCAGTGCTTAAATGTGTCTAAAATAGAGGCATAATCCAAATATTCTAAGATATTATATATATTCTAAGAGTGGAGCTAAATTTATGTTTATGCATGTGAAAACTTTGAAGAGTACCTTTTAAAACAAGTCAGTTGCAAAACCTAAAGATAGATGAAAATAAAAACTTCATATTGTTATCGTCATATTGTTTATATGAATAGCAACATGCACTAAGATCAAAACAGCTTTCGGTCCACAAAATTGTGTTGTTTTTTTTTCAGAGAAAGAAAGCAAGAATTTCGAAGAAAAGAAGAAAAAGAAGAAAAAAAGCAAATATGTGAAGTCACTGCTGTTCATTTTTACAGACACGGCTTTAATGTTAAAATACTAAACATCTGTTCTGTTTCTGTTTCTTTTCAGGAGGATGAGAAGAGCAAAAAAAAACCCAAACACAAGAAAAAGGAGAAAAATAACTCTGCTGCTACTGCTGCTGCACGAGATGAGAAAGACAAGAAGAAGAAGAAGAAATCAAGGACCAAGAAAACAGAGGTGGATGAACTAGAGGACTTTCTGGGTGGAGGCACAGGATCCATTAAAAGAGATGATAATGACTATGAAGAACTATAAAAGAAAACTGTTAATACGGAAATGGAGCCACAGAACATCAAGGGGGACTTTAGAACTTTCTAGGACTCCTGGTTCCTGGAATCTGAGTGTGAGGACATGAAGTACCATCTGAAAGCCATATGTTATAGGCTACATTGTCAACACTTAGGGAAAACAATGAAAGACTGGTACGTTTGTGTGTCTCTCTTTGTCTATAATACTGATTCTTCTTCCACTCTTACAGTAAGAAAAGTTAAGAAAGTCTAACATGTACTGTAAAAATTGTCAGTTTCCCCACAGATTCTTCGGTTCTTTGAACTCCAAGGTGGTTTATTCTTTATTTTTGTCTGATTTGATGACACTCTTCTGCAGATGAGCTGCTGTAAATACAGTGAAACTTTAGTCTGAATGTTTGTGTGGTTGGTGTTATAATTAAGAGCATGGTCAAAGTAACCAGACTGACCAAGTAGAAGCGCGTTTGGTGTTATTTCCTGTGTTCTGTACGATAATGTTTCTCATCCAGATGGTTGTCTCTGAATGTTACCATTTAACTCACTAAAAATAAATTTACATGAGGTGAAGAATGTTTTAAAGGAAGCATGTCTATGAAGATTCTCAGTCAT